AATCACTTGGCGTCCGGAAGCCAAGTGCGTGTATATGAATGCATCGCCGATATAATACACGTGTAATCGCTATAATGTACGATATAATTATACGTATTCCAACCGAGGAGGACCAAGTACAAAGTACACCGCAAGTACGCGCGCTCTTCCATAACCTTCCCTCCCGCCTCCCCTTCCTGCTCTTTCCTTTCTTGGATAAAGCACGATGGAAGAGAAATTGGTCTCGTTGGAACCGTAGAACGACAAGGCGGTACAAAGGCCGTGTTGGCTCTGGCGACTTTCTCGAGTACCACTCGCGCACACGTTTTCCTCTCCAGCCTCGCTCAGCCCCAAAGCGCCGGCTCCACCGCGAGCAAGGTAGTCATCAACGCACGTTTTATCCCAAATCCAACTGACGTATCGCTCGCGGGATGGTAATTCCGTGACGCGTAATAGTAATTCCGTGTTTGCGGTTTCCTCCCTTAATGCGACCGTTAATGAGTTAAGCTCGTTGAATTGGAAACAAAATTAAAACGTCCACCGAATTTTCGAAGCGAGCGCTCGCCGAGGGGAGGAGACGCGGACGACTCGGACGTGTCGTCGCGCTGCTCGAATTACCCCGCGTTCGGAGGAGTAATTAGCACGACGAGGATATTTCCTGCGGGAAACTGAAAAACGGAAGGAGTTCGCGGGACCCGAAAATTTTAACACGCGACAACGCAAAGTTGCGACTTTAGAGAGAACGGCGTGCACGGGAAATTTATTTTGTATCCTTCAATCTCTATTTTTTCGCTACGGCGACTCGCAATCTCGCGAGGTAGAGAGTGAGTACTGCAATTGCGGTAATTGCGGCGCCCTCGGATCGAGCCTTGCTTTAACGGGTTAATGCCTACCGAGAAAACGCCGAGGAAATCCACTGCTGCTTATCGTGTTTATCTCTGAGGAGATAACAAGTGCTCTTCAAGCAGTGATAAAAAGATTAACCTATTTCCACGTCAGGAAGGGGTTGTGGCCGAAGAAGATACGCCACATTCTCGCGCAAGTTAATTTACAATCGTGCCAGATTACATCTAAAATATTTTCAACGCGAAAGTTAAATTGAACGTTAGAAACTTAATATCGCGATTTGACCAAATCATCACTAATTTCAGCCGTGTAACAGTTTTAACCGTTTAATATTCATCTTGTGAGAGAAAGGAATTGATAGTCGATTCAAGGGAAATCAAGCTCGTTTGACGCAACGTAAATTAGAGGGAGGAAAGATCCAACTACACGCACTGTTGTAAACTTCTTTTTTGATTTTATAAATGACTCCAATAATTCAGTTAAACGTTTCGGCTTTAATAAGCCTGCAAAAGCAGAACAAAGAGTCACGCCGGGATGACGTCGAAAAATAATCATTTCTAGAAAGCTATAATATAATTCGATGAATTTCGATTCAAATCCAACCAAGAAAACCAATGTTCTTGGTTAGATTTGAACTCGACCGGGAATTCTTTTATTTTACGACAAAATATTTATTGGGTCTTACTTTTAGTTTACTCAGAACTGCGTAAAATACAAGCGTATTCAGATTACAGTAGCGCTCGAGACAATTGTTACTTTAAAAGATTAATTGTTGCTCGCGTAAATATATAATCAATTATTTACCTCGCGTTTACTCCGCCGTCGTCCGATGCTTCCAAAGCCTTCTTCTCTCCTCAGATTTTCTCGTTGCACACACGCACATCGCACACACTCGCGAAGATATAGTTAACTATTATCGTGTGCGTACTAATGATCGGAATAATACGATCGGGTGTAACCCTACCGTTAACTACACGTCGCACGCACTTTGTTACGTTACGAAATAACTTTATGGAGAAATAACACGAACAAGAAATAACTCCGATCGCACGAAGCTGCGACCAGCGAATCGACATTAAACACGAATCTCAAACAATAGAAGATTTAAATAAACCACATTGTATAAATATCGATTTTACAGTGTGCGATTCTTACGGTTATTGAAGCACCGAATGGTATCACAATTGTGTTAATTAAACGTTACTCGACGCGGCGAATAAGTCGTACAAGATACCTTTATTTCGATAGATAACTATCGTTAGCGAGAGAGTCAGACCGCGAGACCAGTAATCGCTAATTGTTCGCGCAGGACGAACGTTAAATACTTCGTAGCACTTGTCGCGATGGCGGCTCGAGGAGCGACACGTAGATACTGAGCCGTTCGGCTCGACTGCCTGAATGATAATACAAAAACTCCGGCGGTCTTCGGTACGCCGCGTAATTGTTTTTCGGGCGTCGAGCGCGTCATGACCTCCAGGTATTGTTTACGCACGGGCGTTTCGCGGAACTACTTGTTCGGCGAGGCGCGCGGAAGACAGTGCGTACTATCACCGCGCGACCGTCATCATTCGCTCGGCGAAGCTCGCGCGGGTAGCACGTAGCTCTTCGCCGCTCCAGTAGTCTTTCGAAAATCGGTCGCGAGTGGTACCGGGAGATGCGTAGCAAGGGGGTAAATCGCTAGCTAAAATGTTGCCCCACCGATTACACGATTTCATTTGACTTCATACGAGCTCATCTGATTACAAATAATCTCATCTAAAGCCAACGGCACACGATACTATTTTTCCCTACTGGATTGCTTACGAGAGCCAGTCAGGATGCAAAGTTTTCGATCAGGTGACTTAAGGCTAAACCCTGATTGGCTCTCGTGAGCGATCCAGTAGGAAAAATCGTATCGTGTGCCGTTGGCTTTACTTACAAATAATCTAATCTCGTTTTCGAATACGGTCACTCGGGAATCAACATTAGACCGCTTATTGCGATGAATATTTCCATATGCCTCGGTGGTCGAATTAGTTGAGACGTCCGCCTGGCTGAAGTGATATTTTTTTCGCAATAAATTTAGAATAAAATATTTAGACGCTAACACCCTGTCACGGCTCGTAGTCATTTATTCCTCCAATTGTGTTGTAACACATTTGAGCCATACCAATTTTATTAATTTGTAAAAGAAGTACATTTTTTTGGAAAGTAAAAACAAGCCGAGAAAATGTTCGAATTTAACGTTTATTGTCTAACAAGTGAAGAAACTTGAAACTTAAGACAAAACGATTACAAGGGGATTTCGCAAGGATTTCATCATGATTTCGGAGACAATGTCCCACGATTACATTAAGTGGTTACCCCCTCGATGCGCAGGGTCGCGCGATATACGAAGGATTATCGATACGCAACAGATGTTGCTTGTCGGAGGGAATATTTCAATTATTCATCTGAGTCGCGACCAGCAATCACAGTCGCGACGAAATGCTGTGCGATATCATTTGACGTTTCCACGTCGGCGATCCGCCGAGATCTTTTCGCGCCAATCGAGACTCTTCTTGTTTCTTCTCTCGTTGTTATTCCGTCAGGTGCGCGTCGCGTGCGATTAACACCGCGCAAGGTGCCGCGCGGTCGTACTCCGGTGATTATTACGCGCGCGAGTGTAATTAACTACGATCTCGCGAGTGAACCTTACGCGAGTGCAACGGCTGAGAGGAGGAGGAGGCTCTGGGAGGCATCGGGCGACTGCGGGGACGAGCTTGGGGTGAGTACCTTATCATTTATTTGGCCTGCGGAATTTATCATTTATCTCCACGTGTCTGCGTCCAAATTGGACGCGAAAAACGGCGGTGCGATTCGAAATCATGTTCCGTCGCGGAAGTACGGTGGAAAAAAAATGTTCGGCTCATAGCGGATGTAGCGCGGCGTAAAACAAACGGACCGGCGCGGCGCGATGGCGCGGTTTTGCGAGTGATACCCGCGTACAGCGATACGCCGAAAACGCCCCCGCCGGTCAATTCGATTTGGAATTCTTGCAGATATTTCCATACGCTCGCAAACGGCCCGGCGACGCGAGCTTTAACCCACTCAGGCCGGCGGTATTGTAAAACGGTGAATACGCACGCGGGGGTTGCGCGCGGGGGGTTGCGAGCCGTCGGGCGGTCGGCGCGGCGCGGCGCGGCGCGGCGCGGCGGAATGAATATATACGAACGCGCGGCGGAATGAATTTATAACGCGCGCGCGAAAGCCCGGCCTGACCACCGTTCCTTCCACCGTGACGCTGGCCCCCCTCGTAAATCGATGGCGGCTGTTTTACGCAGTTGACCGCGCGGAAAAGCTCGTTGCAGAGCCGAATGCACCCGCATAATCGCGAGGCGGGCGTGAGATGGGCCGGTCGCTCCCGTTTTCGTTTCAGCTGGATATCCCGTGTTTTGTCCGCGGGGAAAAATCCGAGAGAGAGAGAGTCTCGGTTCCCACGCTGGGACATTTTCGTTCCGTCGAAGGATTATTCCGTCATCCGAGCTTCAAGGAGGATCATCGCGTTCGTCAATTGTATAGAGCGCGTAAAACACCTCGGCTATTTGCTTCCGCTGCTCGCATTCATGTCGAACTACGCGGATAGACAAGTTCCCCGTCTTACCGTCGAGTCGTTAAATGTGAGAATGTTCCGTTCCTAAATCGAGCTAAGCTATATTAGAAATGATTATTAAGTTAAAACGCGATCGTTCCCCCGGATTAGAATTCAAGATAGCAGTTGACACCGAAACTGGGGAGGTTCGTTCAAATCGAGATCTTACATTCCTTATTGAATTCGACAGAGATACACGGGGAGAATTTTCTTTGACAATTCATCCTGAAAGTCATGTAATCGTAGAACAACATGGTATCTCGAAGAATTTCATGAGGGTTTCTTGAAATTTCGTACCCCTTTTACTAACAATTATACTCGCTTTTTATTATTTTATTAGTAAAATGTGTGGTAAGATTTCAGAAAACATTCTCATAAAATTGTTCAAGACGCCATGTTGTCCCGCGATTACACGATTTTCAGGACAAATCTTAAGAGAGAACTTTCTCCGTGCAGAAATAAGTCAAAATCGTCTCTCAATCCGTGGGCTACATAGACCGGCTCTCGTTTCGGCTGCAATGCCGACGCGCCCCAAACCCCCCCCACCCCCGCCGCGAGCACTCACCTTCGGGCTGATGAGGAGCGTAGATGTTGAGGTACAGACAGTCCTCGCTCTGGTTCTTCAGGTACGGCAAGTGTCTCTCCAGATACTCGTACCTGCCCGGCTTCACCTCCTCCCGCAGATTCGGCAAGACTTGCGGGCAAACTGGGGCGAATTCCTGCGACTGGCGCACCCCGCGCCACGGCTGCGGCGAGCGGGGCGGTGAAAATCTGAAGGATCCCACGGGAGGCTCCGCGTAAGGAACTCCTAAAACCCAGGGGGCGGAGAGGACTGCCTTGAATACCGCTCCTCAGACTCACGGCGCAACGCCGAGCTAATGTGGCGACCGACATTTCTATCGCCAGACAAACGCGCTTCCACCGACGGGATAAACTATTCATCGGGGCTGCGCTATTAGCGGCGCTGGATGTATTTTTGAAAAGGGGATTTCGCTCGTGTCAATGCCGCCAACTTCGTTTCTAATTAAGCCGCGTGCCGCTTCTCCGCGCATATCGCTCGAAATTAAATTATAATTACATTCCAATTTAATTTTATGTTACACAGTTAAACGTCAATTCCGATTTAAATTCTATTTGACCTCGATTCGGTTTTAAATTTAATCAAATTTCGTAATCGCGCTTCCGCCCGCGCCCCCCTCCCCCCCCCCCGCGCGACCCCTGCTCGCCCCTTTAATTCGATTATCCTTGTAAGGTTAATGGGGTCTTGAGCGAGTAGTGACTGAGAAATGTATGCGGATGAACAAGAAGGGGCGCGACGGTACGCTCGGCTTTGGGCGCGCGCGGCGCACACGCGCGGATGCAATTCGACGAACGTGTGGCGGTGCACAAGTTGACGAACGCGGAGTCGGGCGAAGACGGGAGAAAGCCGGGAGGGCGGCGAGAGAGACGGCAGTAATATCTGTTCCCGAAATACACGGACCCGCGCGCGCGCGCGCGCTCCTCGTTTTGGATCCTTTGACGTATCGGGACTCTCAAAGCGCGGATATGCAGCTGCCAGGAAACTTTTGCTCACTGACCGGGAGCCGAGTTTCCTCCGGAGTATCGAACGTTATCGAGATACCGTTGTAGCAGGTTGTTGCATATGAAACGACGGGCTTTGCGTCAACCAGCTTAGCGTCCCCATCGAATTAAATGGCATCGATACGTAAATGGCTTCGGCCATTTTCTACGGCGTCCTTTCTTCAAAGACGAGTCCATTTTTGGTATTAAATGCAACGCGGACGGAAAGGGATTCGATACCCTTCGCGGCCCTTTGTGCGGAAAGCCGCGGGACTTGTCGCGACGCAACGAACCGTTTCTCTTTCGCGTTTACGGACTCTACCGTTCGTCGCGTATGAATGACGGTTGTTTTGCGATGAATCGAAACGCAACGGCGTTCTCTCCGAAAAGAACTTGAGCTAAGATAGATGTGTTGAGCTGCGACAGCGCGGGTCGACCAATCAGAAGCTCGAAATTGAAATCTTTTGATTCGTTACCGTACGCGTTGCCGCACTTGAACGCGTTTACGGAGTTTTAAGCTAAGGCTGGAACTCGCACACCTAGGCAGAGAGGCAGAAAGCAGAACGGCAGAAATCCAGTCGGAACCAATCAGAATTGCCGCTGGTAGTCGACAGTTTCTACTTTCTGCCAGCAGAGTGCGCTGTTTACTACCAACGCGAGTTCTGATTGGTTTCTGCTTTTCTGCCTAGGTGTGAATCAGCCTCAGACTCCACAGATGCGTTGAGCTGCGGCAACGCGTGCGGCAACGCGAGTCGACTAATCAGAAGCTTGCCGCAAGCTTTCTGCGTTGAAATTAAAATCTTTTGATTCGCTGCCGCACGCGTTGCCGCGGTTCAACGCGTTGTGTGTCTTAGCTTTAGCTTTACCGAGAAAGACGTCGACCAGCTGCAAGTTGTGATTGGTTCTGGGCTGGACCACGATGCCGCGCAATCGGCCCTCCTTGACGCGCACCTCTCTCGTCATTCTCTCCGGGGAGTCGTGGAAGCGCTGGTGGTAGCCATACTGGTCCCGCGACTCGCGAAAGTCGCGGTGCTCCGTAAGGATTTGCGTGCAGGCCAACAGTAGCAGGCCCACCAATTCTATCCGCAACATTTTGGACATTTGCCACGTTGTTCCTCGATTCCGCAGCACCGTATTCCGTCGTCTTAAACGTCGCCACCAAATCTGTCGATGCCCAGCGGTTTTGCACTTCACTCGACGATTTCAACGTTCGCGGGAATCCAGCCCGAATTACCGTAGTTCCCGCTACTTTTCCTCGCGGAAGAAACACCGTGCGACGCTTCAAAGTTGCTTCTCGCGTGTCGGAGAAATCATGGCAGAAATCGCGGAAAAAGTGTCGTGGAGTGCAACCCCTCAGGCGCTCGCGACGGCAAGTTCGGGGCGAACGCGCGCGACAACTGCGACGCGCGGCGCACACACTCGCGACAGAAGTAAAAATAATTTTTCCGGCTGCCGTCAGGACCGGATGCGAGAGGAGAACGACTGCTCTCCCGGCTGTCGTTGGAACTTTTCACTTCGCAGCTTCCGCCGTCTCGCGCGCGCGGGATCGAGGGGCTGCCTGTCCGCGCGCGCGGAGCTCGCATTTTGCGCGAGCTATCGATCGATCTCTCGAGGCGCCCCGCTCGCGATTTTATCCGATTTATCGCGGGGCTCGTGATTCCCGTGGCCTCCAACTTTTAACCGTCCCCGCGATCGGGCTCTGCGCGCCGAACGAACGTGCGTTTCACTAACGCGCAAACTCCGTTCCCGCTGCGCTCGAATTAAATCCTTTTCTTGTCGATATTAACTGTTCAAAAGCATATTTTAAATGTATACACAGGGAGAACGTTCTCTTAAGGTAGTTGTCTCGCGACAGTAATGCGCAAAAGTTCCTTCCAGACAGAAATCAGCACTCAATTATTACAATATGATATGTCTTGATGCAATATTGTTCTAAAGAATACACTTACGATTAATACATAATATAAAATAGATTCGAAAGATTATAGTTTGAGGCGCTGTTGCCGCATCTCTTACACTACAGTCGTGTCTACTGCACAATTTTTCCAATTTTTCAGTTTTAACTATTTACATTGTTAAAACGTAACGGTCAATAACTTTGATTTTTTCCCACTTATTTGTTCTATTTTACTTTATAACGTATTTGTTTCTCGTACAAATCTCACTCACCGTTGAGCTTAAAAAAAAAGTGCCATCATTTGCGTTTGCAAACGCAAATATCAATATTTTAACACATAATAATATGTGTAAATAATATTTCACGTGTGACAATATTGCAACAAATTATATTGTTACGTGTAATAATATTTTTAACGTGTTTTACACGTAATATTTCGTGTATCATAGCGAACTTTAGCTTTTTTTTTAGAACTGTGAGACGATCAATGTTAATTCAATTAGTCTTATTTTGCACGTATTAATGTAAAGAATAAACTATAAAAATTTGAAACAATTCTGACATAAATGATTTTACGAAATGACTACCTTAAAATTTGTCTTGAAAATGAGGTAATCTTGGGACAACGCGGCACTTCGAAGAATTTTATGAGTTTTTACATTTTACTAGTAAAATGTATGGTAAAATTTCAAAAATCTCTTACGAAGCTCTTCGAAATGCCTTGTCCCACGATTCACATGACTTTCAGGACGTGAATTGTAAGGAAAAGGTATCTCCGTATACAGGATCTAAAAATTATGATGAATTTCTCTCTTATAGTTCCTGATCTCTTTTGTAACTTTTGTTACTCCTGCGCGTGTAACCGCACGTTTTGTATTTACATGCATTGCTTCTATATATTTTATTTTGCAGCTGCCTTTGTGAGCTTTGACATGCGGCCGCTTTCGTGTCACTTTTACGTGTAATTAATAACTTTTATTGCGCTGACGATCGAAAAGGGGCCGAAACGTTGGCCAATATTAATTCTGTATTTTCTATCGTGTTATAATACACGTGCACCATCGTCCGTGCTTGACTGCCCTGATTTATCGTCGATGTCTCTCCTACGTTTCCGACTTTTTTACCTCGACTTTCTTTAACTTGCCTTGTTAATTTTTTGCAAGTTTTATATTTATTGCGTTTATTTTCAACGTGGCTTCCCACTGTTTTGCCCTTTTTCATTATAATTTCAGGTAATTGTCTCTCTCGTGATTAACCGCTGTATTTAATTTATCGTATGTTTAATTTATTGGATTATATCCTGATGAAGGGAGCCGGAAACGTTCCGGAAAAATGTTGGTTCCGATTTGTTAGCATAAACATATTATTCTTAACGTCGAACCACGCTCGGCCATTGTCCCGCTGATTTACTCGTTTTGCATATGCATAACGCGAGCTTGACTTCCTTCACAATAACACAGTTATCACGAAATTATGATTACAATGTCGACGAAAATTTGATTGACGCGACAGTCGCCGCGCGGCTCGCCTATTTAAACTCGAGGGGATTGAAGTTCAATGTGTCCATATTCGCGGGCTGACGTGCGGCGGTATTTTCAATTATCTTATTTGAGATGTCTCGCGGACTGTTTTAGTAGACGCGGCATTCCACGGCCTGTATTTAAGCGAGGAAATCGCGCTGAGGGAAAGCGAGCTGGCGCACGATGGCAGATCGAGTGGCACGGGAGAGTTTACCAACAGGAGGCGGCGGCGTTCTATTTAGGGCGAAGAGTACGTGCAGTCGCGCGAGCCCTCGCTCTCCCTCTCCCTCTTCCTCCTCTCGTTCTCTCTCTCTATCTCTCTTTCTCTCTCTCTCTTCTCGCGTTCTACGTGCGTTCACCCTTGTTTGTCCCGCCAAGAATATCGCCTCCGGAGGACATCGCCGTCGCCGCGCTCTCGAAGAGAGAGACCTTTCGACTCGCGGCGTTAGCGAGTCGAAAACTCCGAGAAAACCGCAGACACGTCGGAAATTATTAAGCGAACTCGGGGACTCGATCGAGATCGATTCGCGTGGGATGATTTCCCGCGGAATTTTTGCTTTTTCCCCCTTTCCTTCCGCCACGGCTCGTCAGGGCTCTCTCCGTACGTATCTCGCGGCGAACGTTTCTATCCGGAATATTTTATGGGGCCGTGAGGGAAAATTTCGCACGTAAGGACGCGGCGATATCTTTACACGGGCACGAAACGACGGCGTAAAAACTTTATAAAGCGGCAGAGCCGCGCGTTAACGTCGAGCGACAAGTCGCGTTCGCGCAAATTCGATCGCGTGACGAGCGAAGTGCTCATTTCCCAGTATCGCGATAATAGTTTGCTCGCAGTTTTGCGATATACGCGAGCGTCTCGTAATTTACGTCGGATAAATGACGTCGAGTTCGCAACTAACCCGGGAAAACGCAAGAGGCAGCGAGGAGAAGGGGAGGGGGGGAGAGAGAGAGAGAGCGCTCGGCTAAATCCGATATTTGTGACGTTTACGGTGGGCAAACTTTTGAAGACTCAAACACGCCACACGATTTTCAAACCGTATCAGCTCTACCTGTCAAGCTGGTGTAGTCCGCAACACCAGTTCCCAAGTTTTTTGAACCCCTTTTAACGTAATATTTCCACTATAAATTCCTAGAGATTCGAGATATCAACAACTTTTCCAACAAATACCTAATATTATCAGTAAAATATTTAGTGAGAAAATACGCAATTTGGAAACGCGATCGTAAACATTCTTGAAATTTCGAGGGATTTCTGTGTAGTACAAGATGTCTCACAGTAGTCAGTTGTATTTAATAATAATAAATAATAATGCATCATTTTCGCGCTGCAATACACTTGGAAAAGTTGTTAAATAAAATGGAAATGTCGTGTTTACTTGAAGCTCGTACTTTTGAATACATAATAAAAAGGAATTTTATGGCCTTGGACGTGATTATAAACAATCTTGAAATTTTGCGGAATTTTTTGCGGTAGGACGTCAATTACCATTTTTGCTACAACACACTTGGAAAATCTTCGAAATAAAGCGGAAATTATCACATAATTTTCTAAACACAAAAAGAATTTTTGTGGCCTCGGACGTGATTATAAAAAATCTTGAAATTTTGCGGGATTTTTTTGCGGTAGAACGTCAATTACTATTTTTGCTACAACACACTTGGAAAATTTCCGAAATAAAGTGGAAATCATCACGTAATTTTGAAAACACAACAAAAGAATTTTTATGGCCTCGGACGTGATAATAAACAATCTTGAAATTTTGCGGGATTTCTTTGCGGTAGGACGTCAATTAGTTTTACTATTTTCGCTACAACACACTTGGAAAATCTCCGAAATAAAGCGGAAATCATATACACGTGGTGAAGCACGTAATTTTGAAAACGTGAAAAAGGTGGAGATATCGTCGGAGTTTCGTAGGAATTTTTGCGAGAAGTTTCACACTTGTGAAAAAGCCCTCGACGTTATTTTTAACGTTGACGATGACAACTGGAGCCTCCTCGACAAGCAGAGCCGAATTGTACATTTTCGCATCGACGAGCACTTCTCAGGGTGAGAACTCACAATAACGGTTGATGCGCTCGATATGTTGCCACTGCGCGAACGTTACATTTTTTTTCCTCCTATTTACACGCCCGACAAATAGGAAAACATTTATTAGAGCAAGTATTTTTTCCTCCCCAAATATCGCTCGGCCTTTAAACGAAATGCTGTTAAGAGCTTTAAGATGAGATGATGATGAAATATTACACGACACGTATTTACGCAGCGGCGCATCAAGTGTTATTATCCGCGCAAACAATTTTATATTTATTTACCTTAAATTCACATTTTTAATTCGCATATTTTTTCAGCAAGATCGACTTTATTTATATTCCGCCGCAGCGTATGAAATAAAATATTTTTGACAAATTTTTATATTTTCTCGCGCTGTTAAGGGATTAAGTATTGAACGAGCGAGCGTAAGCGATTATTGCGGCAAATCCTATTTTGCCGACCGCTTGTGGCGGATAAGCTTATAGGAATTCACCGCATCCATCATTAATACTTCTTTTTACTTTCGCCGATGTTTATGATAGATTTTCGAGAGGTGAGAAAATCCCGCCGCGTTATCACGCTCCGTTATCATACCGCCATTGTATCTCTCGTTTGGGGGGGAAAAAAAATTCTATTCGACGGATTTTGTGTAAAAAGTTCCGCCCGCGGCAAAAATGTACCCAAAATTGCGGCAAATTGTTACGCTGTTGCGCTG